ACATGCCATATTTGTTGGGACCGAAGTGAAATACTAGCGTTGGCGTTTAAAAGGACACTAAACAAGGATTGTATACCATAAAAATGATTTTTATTGATGCACAAATGATGCGAAAGCCGGACAGACAATAAGTTGAACTCCCGAAGACGAGTAATTTTGAACAAATTGCTGCCGCTTGATGAAAGGCTGCTTTCAATCGTTTAATCTCAGAATGAGGAAGTTGAAATTTTTAACAAGCTTAAAAGCCTTCACGTTAAGATACGAGTATAGCGTAACGCGTGTATAATTCTTGAAGTTTTCCAAAAGAGCTGTCTCGGCTCTTCGTCGTTTGCAACATCAGTAACAATTGCGGCATTAACTTTACGACTTTAATAGTATTAGGAGCAGCAGCTGCTGTTGCACCTTTCAGACTTTAACTCTTAATTTCTAAACGTAAATTTTATAGGTTTTTGGTACTTTAATTTTGTGCTCAATATAATTATGTTTTTCCTTTAAACAGAAAATATCAGCAAAATTGCTGGGACACTGAAAAAGTACATGTATGTTATAGAAATTTATGATCTATAAAAAATACGTAAAACATTTTGTTTAACAAATTGTCTTAAGTATATAAATGAAACTACATATTTTAAAATTGCTACACAAAATACATTACACTTTAAATGATCTTAAGAATTATATGTTATATGCAATGTACTTATAACTGCATTTCTGCGAAATATTTTAAATGGACGGTTTAGTGAGGAAGTGAACAAATTTATCTGTTTTACAACTTGCCTAGAAAATTACAATTCAAACATCCTCATACACATTGTCTTCCAGTCACGTTTTTGAACTACACCGGTGCTAGTTGATATCAGTTTTGCATTAGAAATATCCGTAACTATTCTCCATTGAAATTTCTATACTTCTAAAAATTTTACAATTTCTATTTTTAGAGACTTATCGATTTTACTATTTCTTTTTCATCTTAAAGTTTTTTTACTTATATTTCAATCGGTCCCATTGTTTAAACAACGTAGCTTGCTTTCAAAAATAACAAATTTTTAATTTTATTTTTGCCATCTACAAAATCTTAGAGCCATAACTAGCTATATACCTTAATACTGTCTTGATTTCGATTACTCGTAGCTCGTTTTCTTTCGATAGTTATCTTGATGGTGGCTGATTGCTTTAGTGACGACAGAGCCCTAAATTCTGTCCAGGTTGCGCATAAGCGTCGTGTTGTTTGCTCAAACCCAATCTGAACAATAGATTTTTTTTTTTAGTTCATCAGCTCAAGTCAGTTGGAATTACCTTATTTTCGAGATGGTGTTGCCCTCCTGTTGCATATTACAAGGGACATATTCTAACCCATTCGAATGGATAAGATAATTAGAATAGGTAAGAATTAGATAAACGGTGAGACGAAAAGGGAATGTTTGCAATAAGAAGTGAATAAGAGATAGATGAGATTAAATTAAAACTAGCCTAGGTCAAAGTGAAGAAATCTTGACACTTCAATGGATCGCAGCGAAAGATCAATAGATTCAAATTAGTTCATTAGACGTGAGAACAAAAAGTACGACATTGTAAAGCTTCGAAATTGACAAATTTACGCATTAGAAGTATGTGTTTACCACATGATTATACCCAGATCTAAATTGGGATACGATAGCGTTTGCTCCACATGGAAGACGTCGTCGTAGACTCGAAGAGAATACAACATCTGTGTTTAGGGCTATTAGTTTACGTTTGTATTCAACGTTACCTATGTTGGCTCAATACAATGAGCGTTGACGTAGATATTGCTTAAATAGAAAATAATTCAGTACGTATAGAGGCTCAATATTATTTTAAATATAAATAATAAAATCAAAATATTTTTATTAAGATAAATGCAATATGAAATAAGTTTTTTTTTATTGTTACAATTTTCAATTTTTAATGTTTGATTTTTAATTTTTCGACTTAACGTCAAATTCGAAACAATTAATCATTAATTAATTCGTGAATAAAATGATATTAAATGGCAGGGTATATAAAATAGACCAATATAAAAATCAATATAAAATTGAAAATAGCTTTTCTATATTTACTACAAGTTCCAGAAAAGACCAGATTACTCTGTTGGCTTTTTTCTCTGGTGAGAAAAATTTTCAGTAAAACAATTTACAAAGAAATAAATCGATCGAGATCATTCAATATAGACGTCATACCAACATTTAGCCCAAAGGGGTCCCCAGAAGAGACCATTCTTCTGAAATAACAAAACACAAATAGTCTTGAATCGGGAACACACTTCGACGACTCGCAAATAATATAGCAATGCAAGAGTGCTATGAAATTCACAAGCAAGAATATGGCGAAGAACAATTGAGAAAGAATTAGAAGATTCCGGATTTACTTAAAATAATAGTTTCACAAGAGCAGATTCTAAACGCCTTGTGGCGTATTCTGGAACATGGAGGCCATATGCTCCATAAGAAATTCAGAAAATTAGTAGTAGTAATAGTATCATATAGAAATATAAGTAAAGTGGTCTAGCCATGACTACTTTACTTACATGGGTAGATCATGTTACCATGATGTCAAGTTTGGTATAAATTAGAAAGTATTCCATGGCAATATATTTGCAGTGAGTTGCTAATAGATTATGTTGAAAATTTATGCCCTAATTACCTTTCTGTTCTTGAATACGGCACTGTTTTAAAATTAATAACTGATACTAAAGCTCTTTTCTTTAGTATCTTTAGTATGTTCTAATTTTTAAGAAACAAAAAGGAAAAAATTGTTTAATTAAAGAATGAAAAACATGTTTATGTACCTAGTTACACTATATTTCTCAGCTAACACAACTGTATATATAAATTTTGTTAAAAGCATCAGTATCTTATGTAAGTATGAACTTTTTAATTTTAGGATTTCCTTGTTCCTTGTTTCTTGTAAACTTTCATTATAAAATCAATTAACTTAAAATAGAATATAAAACGGGAAATGTATAAAATTCATTATAAAAAGTCATTCAATAAAATTTCTCAATATCTGGAAACCGGAATAAATTAAAACCCAACAAGGATGCATCTGATAATAGTGCGCAACTAAATATTTAACACTCAACACAAAATAAATTTTAATTAAAAATACTCAAAACAAAGGAGAAATGAAATGCGTAAATAAATACGAATTGAAATATTAAACGTAAAAAATAAGAGAAATTGCATTACAAAAAATAAAACAATGAGGATATGTAACAAAATAAAAAAGATAAAAGATACAAGCGAAAACAAAAAAAAACGAAACAATGACGAATTTGTCAATGTTGCTGGCTTTAGTCATTTTTAGTAGGACTGAGGAAAATAGCGGAAAACCATTGCATACTTTTCAGCATGCTGAAGTTGAATGCATATCCGCTTCCGTTTCCGTTTCTGTTGTTGAGCCAAAAGGAAGAAGGAAGAGTTTAAGTGTAAATGAGAATAGAGGAACAAAAGCAACAATAAAAACAACAACAGCAACTTAAATAGTAATCATAAAACTATGCACAAAATTGATTTGATTAAAAGCGCTGTGCCTGCATGGAATGTAAAATGAGCTCAGTTTGCATGGGAAAAAGGACGATTTCCAGAGAAATTCTATATAAGAAGAATTTAAAACCAGACAATACCAACACAAATAGAACGAATGCATACCAACACAACATCACCAAATGAAGCCAGAGCACTAAAAATAAGAATAAGAAATGCTAGGAAAAGTATTTCATGATAAAGGAAATGAGCGTGTGAAAATTTTCTTCGTTCAAATTGTTCCAAATTTGATTAAATTACTTAACTTGGTTTTCAGTTTCCTATAGAAGTTGCTTATGGAGTGCATGGTATATAAAGTAATAAGACTCAACACAAAAATATAATATATAATTAAAAATATTATATATATTACAGCAAAATTGTTTTTATTTTTGTAATGTAAATGCAGGCAAACAACAGATGTTTAACTATTTATTTAATTACTTAAACGTATTAGTTAGCTTTAGCTATACTAAAACTTAAATACAAAGAATTATTGATAAATTATTTTAAAATGATTTTACTTAAGACTGCGCATTCCCCATATCCCTCACTGCAGAAGTTGTGGAAATACGCAGCAGAGTGCATTTTGAATGCCAAACTTAGAGATTTTATTTCTGCGAGTTGGATCACAATTTTTTGAATAGCCTTAGAAACAGCTCATCAAGTTTCCAATATCACCGTTACTGAATTGCAAACATTTCGACAATATAATTATATTGCTTCACATACTCATTGCTACTCACTGAAGAGAGTAAAAGAGAGATAGTTCACTTTAAGAGGATTAAAAGGATTACATAAAAAAAGTGGAAAGCGGATATTCATATCTATACTAAAGTCACAAAAATATATCTCCCAAAAACTTTAAGATAAATAATGTGTTCTGGAAAACTGTCTGAACATTTTTCAAACAATTAATTCTCAAAGTCATTAAAAAATAAATTGTCTTCATTTGAAATGTTGAATACATTCAAGTTTAAAAACATTACTTAATAAAATAAAAACAGATGTATATATACGTTATATAAAGGTTTTTGATAGAAAATATCTATTTGGGTGAAGTTATTCGATACGACGTTTATCGTTTTTTGGAGTGGAGAATAATTTTCTGTATGTATGTTATTTACCATATTTATTTACTTAGAAAATATTTTGAATTTAAGTTTACACATATACTTTTGGCATTATCTGTCAAAGATCATTTAATTTTTAAGAGGATTTTTTATTAATTCGTAAAATAAAAATGGTCACTAAATAATTACAATTAATTTTTAAGTACACGGGTGTTAAAGGCAGTTGTAGAATCAAATTCCTTATTTATTAAACCTCAACGTATAAAATAAGTTTTTAAAATAAGTTTAATAAACCTTAATGCCTTGATAATAAAATATTATATTTTATACACACATGTTTTTTAATTATAAGGACATAAATATATATTAATAACTTATAACTTACTTGAAATATTGTGCAGCTGCTTCTCTGTTAACTGCAGCAATATATTCTTATTGCTATATAGTAGCAGCTGCTGCTATACTCAGTGCAGTTGTTCCGGGTATTGGAGTGTTTGATCTTACTGCTGGTTGTCAACCCGAAGAACTAGTAGGCCTTGGTGATCTTGATGATATCACTGGACTAAGTGGAGCAGGAGTTGATGGCTTAGTTTCAGTAGCTGCCAAACGTGGATTCATAGGAAATGGAATAATTCTATTATTAGCGTATGAACATAAATCTGGATAAAGATGAAAATAGCTTCCATTAGCGGTTGCATAAAATTGATGTGAATAGAACGGTCTCTGTGCTATAGCCCACATATTTTGATTTAGTACTGGATATCGGTCATTGCCAATGCATAAATTGTCTATTAAATTTTTGTAGTCTTTAGTATCTCGTATACCTATAATATAATACATAACATAAATATATACAGATACAAACATTTGAATGATATGAGTAAAATTTATTGTAGTGAGTAATATTATTGATGAATAATTGAAATTAAAATTAAAATACCTATTAGTGAATATAAATATTCAAAAAAATGTATATATTTATTCTCATTTTGAATAAGTTTAATAACAATAATAATAATTATAAATTGTTTGTATTCAATTATTCTTTACTTTTGTTTTAATTAATTTTTTTAGTTTCTTGATTAGTTTTCTTCTTTATTATACTAAAACTTCTCTGCTGACAATGTGTATCCAAGTATCGTTTTTTTCTTACTTACCATAAAACTTGATGTTATTAATCGTGAATATATATATACGTACAATCTTAATATTGATGTGTTTATTAATTCTAAACGATATGTCCAGCTTCACAGTAAAGTAGATCGAATCAAAATGTTACTAAGAGTTTTTCAACATCCTTTTAATGCTGTCATCTGTGAATCAAAAGAAAGAACTCATAGTCGGTAATGACCGACTATAGTATATTTCTTAAGGCCTTATTATTATAATAGGCATTTGTATGAATATCTGGTATTTCTATATATTTTCCAGATGTTATGTAAATAAAACTGCAATCAGTATTTCCGTTTATATAAAATTTAGCAGAGACATATCCCATTTTAGTAGGCTATGTGCACATATAATATTTCATATCCAATTGCCTAAATGTGTATATGCTAACATCAAGTTATCATACAGATACTTTAAGTTTGATCTGACAATATGTTTAGATTATATTTGCACACTTTTCTTTTGATTTACTGTTTTACACTTACAAATGATGAGTGACCAGCATGCCCAAGTAAGGCAATAACTCCGGATGTAGTGAATAAAATCCATGATCTTGTGATGGAAGACCGTCGAATAAAGGTGCGCAGAATTGCTGATGTTTTGTAGTAACAAATTATTTTGCTATAACAAAATAGATTGTTAGTTCCAAAACTAACAAAATTTATAATTCTTATTGCCTGGTATTAAAATAAATAAATGCTGAACCTTTTCATCCTTGCATAATAAATTGAATTTTTTTTTTGGTTTAAAATTTGATAGTTAAAGTGAAAATTAATCTACGGGGAGGATATATTTTATTGAAGAGTGAAGTTCTTATCGTTTATTAGTTTATTTTTTCAATTCTGTTTTTATGATCGTTGAAAAAACTTGCAATTTTGCTTAATTTTAATGCATAGCAAACAAAACGCATAAAAACTTTGAGTTTCTACATTACAGTGCACACTGAGTTATGCAGCCGTAGTAAAATGTTAAACCTCTTGACTCCTGGCAAATAAAAAGTCGTAAAATCTTTTTGAAAATGCATTGTATAAGTTTTTCATATAAAAGGAAAAACAACTATATAGAGAAATGAAACTACAGCGCAGAGCCACTACCCGAAGTGGAACTTTTTTATTTCTCTAAAAATTTTCTAATTCCTCTCTGATGGCGTCATAAATTTTCGTATGATTTCACTCTAATTGTAAATGCAAAGTACAACCTTTAGTTTAAAAAAATTAAAAGCTAAAAATCATTATTACTTTGCTATTTTTCTTCTATTTTAATCTTAGTTTTTCAACGAAAGCATCTGCAGAATATCAAAGTTTAGCAAAGTGATGAATTTTACGAGTTTATATGAATTTACGATGCTTAACAACTTTTTAAAGGCGTTAAACCTTTTTTACTTTTTATTTGTGTTTTTAATTTTTTAAATTTTTTTTGTTTTTTTTTTTGTTTTTTTTTTTGTTTTTTATGAAACAAAAATAGTATTAAACGGAAATCATAAAAAATGTTATACGTGCCTTATGGGAAGTGCCTTGGGATAGATATCAATGTATCTGCAGACTGCACAATTATTTCACACTTGATTGCTACACATGGCCATTTGTCAACTAAACTATAAAAATAATTTGACCACATTTAGGGTCCAAGTAGACATTTAACACTTTAATAAGAAGAAAATAATGATAACAATGAAAAAAGTTGAACCAACATTGCAAGTCCTTGTAAATACTTTGATACAACACTCATACGTCATGTTATTTTATTATTTCAGATAAATAAGAAATAAATTTTATACCCACGAATTTTATTCACATTGATATAGCTAAAAACTTATTTTTAATAATATAAAATTAGTTAAATAAAGTATATTAAGACGATTAAAAAATTAAAATTTAAGTTTAAAGCTATATAAATATTAATTGAAATGTTTCAAACGAAAGGAAAAAGTACTCTATATAAGAGTTTCTTAACCAAAGACATACTGAAAACCGAAATATATTCAATATGCTTTGCAAGGCTGGTCAAATAATTAATGCAAGGGCGGGTACCAACATCTTTCCAAAAAACTACATAATATCGTTAAAGTGATGGTAAAAGTGGACCGGTGATATTAATGACTCAGACCGGTAAAGGTCTGCAGACAGGTCTTACACATATTTAAACTTAATTTTAGCATGAAATTATATAACAAAATATTTAAGAAATTGTAAGAACGTAAAAATGTATTTCTATTTTGTTAGAAATAATCCTTATTAATTAATTGAGCAATCTGTTTTAATAAAATACTGTCCTTAAGAAACTTTTGCAAATATGTTAATGTATCTGACAATCTTATAAAATAAATAAAATAAAAATTAATAAATAATTTCTTATGTTCTAACTAGATTTATTTATAAATATAAATTATTAAGCAAAATGAACTATAAACGATTAGAAAAGTTAATGAAACTATTTCCTAAATAATATATTTAATTACTAATTTTTTCATATTTTGTTTTTTTTTTTTTGTAAATAATTAACAATAATCTCACATATCCTACATATAATCATACATAATAACAAATTAATATTAACTTTTTTAAAATAACAAATATATTTTAAAAAACTACAAGCAGCAGGTTCTAAAGATAAATGTATTCTATCATACTATCACTATTTTTCTTGGTTTCTGTTGTATATAACTTAAAAGTTTTAGTAATAATTTCAACTGTAATAATTAAATTCATATAATTTATTTATCTTATTTATTGATGACCTGGGTTAAGTTAGGCTACTGTGACAGTCGGTTTAATTGAACAACTCATTTGGTTTCTATGTTCCATTGTAATACTACAACTTAATACGGGTACTAACCGTTAGATAATTATAAAGCCATTTTAAGGTACTAATAAAGTACAGGATATTTTTATTCTAAGCTTCTGCAAATTGTGAGCTATTATGAACTCTTGATTATCCTTAGAAACTTTTTTCCTTGTGACCAAAGCTGGGCAGCCTCTGTTTTTTCCTTTTCTTTATTTCACAATTTTTACAGTATTCATAAGAGGGCAGTGTCAGTCTAAGAGCATATCTATCAGTAGCCGGTTATACAACTACGATATTAGATATGTCATACTTTGATAGGCTCCGTAAGACGCTTGATTTTTTCTTATAACAGAATACAGAATTAACCCGAATACCAGATGAATTTTTTTATTACAGCAGTACAAATTTCATCTCTGAATTGACTCTTTTCTGCAATAATAATAATACTAAACAAATGGCAAAAGATATTCTAAGATCACTTTTGTAGAAGCATAAAGCTAATGCTTCTGAAACTATTTCAGTCGTATCCTGAATCTGGCATTACATAGATATTGCTGACATAGAGCTACAAGACAGTCGTGATTAATCCTAAACGTACAATCTTTACCATTACCATCGAGATTATTGCTTGGATGGCTACTTGAAAATTTGAGTATTTACTAATCATAGTTTTTTATACCACATTTTTACTTGACTAAATGGGCTTCGTCTAATTTTTTATACTACATTTTTACTTAAGTAAATAGGCTTCTTCCTTGATAAACACTGCAGTGATCAGTATAGTCAGTTGCAAACCAAAACTCTTCCAGAAAACTTTAAAGACAACTCTGTCTTTGAGTTTAATTCATTAACATATCCGCTTGATAAGCACTAAAGTGGATAGGTAACCGGACACACCATTTCAATCGTAAGTCCATAGAAAAGACTCCAAAATGAACTTCAATACATATAGCCTATACATATTAATAGAAGTTCACTTCACTTATTCTCCACAGCATAAGAGTATTCGATTTACTTCTCGGCGTATTTCTTGTCTAGAACTGCCTAACGAAGTTGGGCCTGAAAGTGAAGTGATTGCCTTTTTAAATATAGGAAAACTAGTATTCAGAGTAATAAAGGGGCTCGGTTGTCGAACATACTAATGCGTTTTAATCTAAGCGTTGATGCAAAATAATTGGATGAACACAGTTTTTTTGCATTTCATTGTTTAGAGTGGATCTAATTTGTAAGCATAAAAGTTACTTTAACAAATATTTCTACGAAAAAACAAAAAGCTAAGAAAAATTAAAAAATTTTACAAAAAAGTCATAAATCTTATCACTCACACTGTTCTGTAATAAAAACTAGCCATTAAGTGGTTACAATAATCCGCAATGAAGAGCAATTCGATAGGTCTTGTGAGCCGTTTGAAAAATGCAATAATTTTCACACTAGCAAAAGTTTCGAAGCAGTAAATAATATAAAACAGATGCAAGTATGTTACGCATCATCCTACCTTGTTTTCTACTCATATCTGTGATGAAAATCAAGGTGGCCAACAGCAGACTTAGACACAACGATGAAATAGCTATGAAGAAAGCTTTTGTTCAGCATAAATTTTAATAATCATAGACTTGGCGGTAGAGTTTTGATATGACGAATAACACATGTATATGCAGAATGAAGGTTACGCCCAACATAGATGAAAGATCTTAGCACATAATAAAAACTAAAAAGAAGTGGGTCTTCTTAATTATAAAAGTTGTGGTTCCAGTTGCAGCAGAAACCGTGACAAATTTTTTATTAATTATTTTTAACATAGTGCAATTTATGATAACATTTACAACACATAATTAATTTATAACTATTGTATTCATATTAATGATTCATA